AGCTATAAAAGCTATTACTCTGTTAAATTCCTAGAGCTCTGTAAGCAGAGGCGTATTATAGCGCTCTGTATGCCAGCACACGCGTCACATATTCTACAGCTGCTTAACATTAGCTGCTTTTTGCTGTTAAAGCGCACGTATAGTACTAAGATTAGCTAGTTAATCTACTACTAGATTAACTATATTAATAAGCTAACCTTCTTACTAGCCTTTAAGGCAGCATTTAGTTACTTAATTACAATAGATAATATCTGCGCAGGCTTTAAAGCTACAGGACTAGTCCTATTTAACCTAGAGCTAGTGCTTTTAAAGCTTAATATACAGCTACCTAATTAGCTAGCTACTCTACTACTAAATACTGCCTAGGAGGCTTAAACACCTAGTAATTTTTATAAAGTTAAGGCTTAGTTAACTCTACTATATAATTAAATTTAAAGGCATTAGAATTTATCTCTTTCTGCTATGCTTAATCTAGCAAAGCAGCTAAGTAAGAGCGCTACTAAAATAGCTTATGTTGCTGTTCTATAGCGCAATTAAGCAGCTGCCCTAGAGAGAGCCTGTAAGGCAGCCACAAAGCGCAAGCAGCATAAAAAAAAGTAAATTTAAAAAAGAGGAACTCTAATAAGTTATTAGGGCTTTAAGTTAAGTACTTAGAAGCTTGCTAGTATAGCAGGAGGTAGTAAAATGCCTTAGAAGGAGTTAACTACTAAAAGCAGTGCAGCGCGCGCACAGCGCTGCAAGCGCTGCAATAAGCCTAGGCATAACTCTTGTACATGCAAGGATATTAAATAATCCTATAGTAGTTTATTTTATATAGTATATTTTTGCGTTGTTAAATTAATAGTCTTTAAAGTTAAATTTAGTAGTAGGGCAGAACACTTGCTTGTGTTGAACATTCGCTTGTGGACCATGTTAACTAACACACTAAATAACTTTTTTAAGCTAATTATATAGCTAACTTATAAAAGCTAGATAATAATAAAAAGTAAGTAATTATTTAGCACATACTTAAGCTAAATGTATAAGAATTTCCTCTCTAGCTAGTAGCTATAGCTAATATAGCTAATTTTTTACATACTAAGCATAATATAGGCTATATTAGTATAAACTAGCTTAATATATTTATTAAGCACTACTTAAAGCTTAAAGTAAAGTTTAAGTATAACTATAACTATAAAAAAGCTTTTTTATAAATTTTTTATAGTAATTTAAAGCTAGTTTAACTTTATAAAAATTTTTAAAGCTAACTATAATATCTAAAATAATAATATATATAACTTTAATAAAATAAAGTTTATAAGAAGCTAAATATTTACTAGAGTAGTTATTATAAGTTTAAAAAAATAAGAATAGCTAATAGTAGTCTAGCTAAGTAACTAGAAGTAAACAACAGCTATTTAAAGCATTAATACTAAAAAGTATGCTATTTTACTTTTTATTATTTTTTAAAGTAGTAATTACTTTTTAAACTAGTATAAAAAATTTACTTTAAAATTAAGTTATTATAGTCTTTAAGCGCAGCTAGACTACTAATTAGCTTAGTCTAGACTAGTTAAAGCACTTTAATATATATATAAAAAAGTGTACTATTAGCAGCTACTATTTACTAGTTATTAATAGCTATAAAAGCTATAACTTACTTTATTTTTAGTAATATAATAAAGATAATAAGATTATTATATTTATATACTTTTTTACTTATTATACTTTTTATAGCTACTTAATATAAGTTATTTTACTTTTTTAAAAAAAGTATATAAGCACTAAGCTAAAAACTTTATATATAACTAAATTACTTATATTATAAAAATAAAGTTTTTACTATGCTTTAAAGTAGTTTATAATGCTATAATTACTTTTAGTAATATTTAAAAAAAGTTTTAAAGTACTAAATTAGTTTTTTTTAACTTATAATAAGTTATAATAGGCTTTAATATAAAGTTACACACTTTATTACTACTACTACTTATATATAATAAGCCTTAGTAGTTATAAACTTTAAGTAATACTTTAAAACTTAAGTTATAATTAATGCTTATAAAAATAAAAATTTAAAAGTATATAAATAGTTTACTAACTTTAATAGTTAAAGTGTTTAAAAAAGTTTTAAAAAAAAGTAGTAATAATTATATATAAGCTAGTATTAGTATAATAAAAAATTACTAAGCTTTAAGTAGCTAATAAAACTACTATATAATATAAATTATATAAAAAAAAGTAAATTAAGGTAAAAAAAACTTTAATAATTTAAAAAAGCTTACATTTAATAGCTTTAAAAGAGTTTAAAGCGCATAGTAATAAAAAGAAGGTAAAGAAGTAAGTATAAGCTAAAGTAAGTAAGCTATTTTAAAGGCGCTGTAGATAGTGTAATTAGACTAGGCATAACATATAAACATGTAAGTAAGAAGTAGAAGTAGTATCTAAATAACATTTTAGGCTATACTGTACTATATAGTGCTAGAGCAGGTTGTTATACGCTATAATAGAGTTTGTTAGGGTGTAGTCTTAGCAAAAGTAAGCGACTCAGGTGTGTAAGCAACTCGCCCGTGAAGTACGTTAGCTTTAGATTAGTTATTTACAGTACTCTACTGTTTTTAAGATAGCCCTTAATTTTCTCTCTATACTAGCTACTAGTTGCAACTTTAAGAGAGCTTTCTCTAGAGGCAGAAGAACTATTACTTTTAAAAAAAATCTTTTTAGTAGAGTAATAATTTAAGCGCTATAGCTGTAAAAGAATTAGCTTTATTATAAGCTAGTTGCTAGTAAGCTTAGTAAGTTAGTAAAGTACATAAAATCTGCTCTATCTAATTATACTATAATCTAATTCTTAGCAATTGTATTATAAGTATAGTAAATTAGTTTGTACTAACTACAACTTGTAGTCCCCTCTGCTTCTCTAGTAATTGTATAATCGTACTAACAAACTGAGTCGTAGGGCGGTTGAAAACTCCCAGTCGAATTGTATTACTTCTGATTGGTTACGCTGGTTCTTTCATACAATGTCAAAGCGGCTTCGTACCGCTGCTGTCTATAGAAAAGGTCCGCTAGACGCCCTAAACTTAGCAACGTGTGACAGTGCTCTTTTCCTTAGACTTTCTCTCGCGCCTCTCGCAGTTGTTGGTGCATCTCTTTAGCTGCCTCATACTTCTCTAGATTCGCTAGGTTGTCCACAACACATTTTAGAAATAGGAAACTCAGGCCAGCGTTGTCTCCCTCACGCTAGAAGGTACGCGTACGAAATCCTTACTCCGCAACAAGGTATAAGTCCTTGCAAATTGTCCGTAGATACCCTGACGTCAATTATGCGCAGTTGAGGCTTAAAGTTCTAGGAATTAAGGCGTTAAACGAAACGCTTTACCAACTATTATTGGTTAGAAACGCCCATGTCTTTCTGCTGAGGACGCTAAGATCCAGTTAAGTTAAAGCTAGAGGATGAAGAATACATAATTTAGCCACGTCTAGGTAGAGTTTTCAACAATTGCTTAGCAGAAAGGGGCAGGAGCACGAAGAGGATTAGGATTTTCCGCACGTTAATGCAGAAGCAGGATAAGAAGATAATTGACGTCTTTATAGTGGATTGCCTTAGCTCACTACGTCTAACAAATTCTAAAGTCAAAGGTCATGCGAGGTCACTAGTATTAAGGTGTTTATATTAATGTCTTCTATTAAGAAATAACTCGACGTGGAAAGGAAATATGCACATATGTAAAGATAACTACATTCTAGTCTACATACAGTTTACAACAGAGTTAATGGATTTTAATCTCCTTTAATAGACCTAGGAAGGGCTCAGTAAAAGTTCTTTCTTCTTCCCCCACGTACAAGGGCCAGACCGGGAAGGGTGTCCATGGCAGGTCCCGGAGGGGTTGATTGAGAAGCTCTGCCACCCCAAAATCGTGGGAACGAAGCGCGCGGCCAACCGTAATATTCCTTCGGACGGCTTCGCAAGAGCGAATAGAGCACTGATCGGTGGCACGGTTTGCAGCATGGACGTAGCACGCTCCGACGACTTTATAGCGGTTGCCGCCCAAGGGCCGGAGAATGAAGGGGACTCTGGCTCCTTCCAGGTACCACACCTCATCCCAGTCTTCAAGTTCCATAGGGCCCAATTCAATCAAATGATCTGTTCCGAATATTCTGCGGCTCATTCCACACCGTATCATCTTCGCGAGGAAGTCGAGCTCGTTTTTATCAAAGTGGCCACTGCCATAACGTCCAAGTGATGATCCAGGAGATCCGCAGGCACAAGGAGATCCGCAGGGACAAGACGAGATATCGCACCAAGGGTGTTAAAGCCGTCGCCAGTACATCTCATCTAATGTAAAGCAGTTCCAGCAGATTCCACCAAAAGCTAGAGGGATCTCCGCTCAAACAGTTTTCATTTCGGTTTCAAAGCCCCCAAAATCGCTGGCACCGTGATAAATCAAGAGGATCTCTCTCTAGAAACGTTCTTTTTCGGCGCAATTCTTAGTTCTAGGGTTTGACAACAGATTATGCAGCCAGTGATGATCAGACGGGTAAATTACATGCCGGACGACTCTAGTGCCGGCGTTAGTTTCTCCAGCCAAAACCGGGCTGAAAACTCTCCTGTCTGTCCATACAGTACCGTACCTCATACCAGTCACTCGTAGAACGCATTCTAACGGGTAATTCAACGTCGCCGTTGAAGATGGAGTTCGCCCGTCTAGAGATGTGAGCCGAGGCACATGGCGTCATCAAGCACGCCAAGTCTGTGGGTCAAACAGACGAATAAGCACCGGATGACATCATGAGCGGACCCAACCAGGTGCCTGAAACTAGACCTAACTGCGGGAACCAAAATAGAACAAACTCTACACATTAGAATATGCGCTCCTCCCCTCTCTACATATTCGCCTAGAGGATTCTAAACCCTATCCTTTAGTAACCCTCAGGTATTACCACGGGCTTCAGTGACATATATAGAGCTAACCATATCTAATTTAGACAATGATGTCACCTGACGCACAGTTCTAGGCAGACTAGTACTGCAGCCTATATATTCAGCACTGCCTCACCCCAAAGCTAGGCCTTAATTCCTTTCTTCTTCTACCAATACCGCTAAACTTGCTACTCAAGTCAAACAACGCCTTTACACCCAACTCCCAAGACTGATCAGACAGACACCTCAGCACGTACAAACTTCTAACTACGATCCTTAATATTTGAATTATTATTACAGGGAGGATATTGTGCAAGTCAAATTCCGGGATAATGTCAGACAGCAATGCGCACAACCATGTGGAGGAGGATGAGGAATTTTGGAACAGGTGGCGTTTAAATACATACGAGCGCAAATTAGTAAAGCCTATGAAGAAGCCTCTCACAGCACCTTTGGATCTAGCGGTTAGCGATTCCGATGTGGAAAAGCTCAAAGCTGGTTTCAGACCCCGAAGCCAGGACGATAAATATGCTTGGCTAATTGAGGATGAAAATGGCAACACATCTATCCACATTATTCGACACTTTGTACAAGAGGAGGAGTACATACTTCACATTGCCCCAAAATCAAGTAACGACAATAGCGCGAGTGCAAAGATCCACAGCATTACCTGGGAAGGAGATATGATTGGTATACAAGACGATGTAGAGCAGGCCAAGAAGAACGTTGTGATTCTAGCTAGAGTCAATCTTAAATGCGACTTTGAGAATGCGCCTGGAACAGTTTAGGATCAAAAGCTGGACGCGGAATAGATACAAAACCATCTCGCAAGCTTAGAGGAGTCATCATATTGTTAGGTTATTTCTCCGTACCTGTAGTTAATACTACCAAAGTACATCCAATCTTTCCTGATACACTGTAGCCTGTTTCCACTGCCTATGATGTCATGACGATCACAATCTCCCCCGATTGCGTGATGGGGTTGTCTGAAGAATCGTACCGATGATTGTGGTAAGTGCACGCTCTCAGCTCGACACCGACAGACTGACGCTTAGGTACAACATGCTAGGTCGGACAACTTACAGGAATAAGCAAGGCAACACTTTAGACATTTCAAATAGGTATTGTAGGCAAGCCAAACGCGACTTTATACCCAGAGCGTACACTTTCACATTCATTTATAACAAATAACATATGCGTGACAGGAAATAGAATCTATATTTAAAAAGTGTGTGTTTCTATGCGTACATGACAGTCTAAGCTACTTGAGATCTAGAAAAAGGAACCTTAGAAACTGTGTTGTAAGATGTGCATCGTAAGACAGGCAGTCGGGGTGATTGCGTGCTGCAATTACCAGGACCTCAGAACAGTTGGAGTTAAGCCCTAAACTTTACCGAACAGACTAAAGGGACCAAACGCTTCTTATCCTCTTGCCCATCCTCAAAGTCGTCTCTAGTCTAATCGCTAGTCTTCTTGCCTCTCACGTAGACGTCCCACTTGATGATGCTATCCCAGTTAATCTAGCCCTTCACTGACATTTCCTTCTCCCCAGGTTTAGGATGATCTTCGCAGGGTTCCCAACCGTACGTACTACGAGTCGTAGTATACGACCCGTAACAGTCACGTGAGCCGTTGAAACGTAGGAGAGATATGAGTCGTAACGTATGACTGGAGGAGCGCCCATTACGGACCGTAGTACGTCTCAAAAAGGCGACTTTTCCTACCAAAATAGGACCTGATTGGACACATGTGGGATCGCGTCGGGAGCGTGTTTGAGGTCACGTTCTTAGAGTAACAATCGGGTGAAAACTCTGAGGTTTGTGGGACGTCGGCGCTCGCGGCGGAGGCTGGGAGTGAGGTGTGCTATCCTATGTAAATAGTCAGCTTTTTGGCCTGTAAATCGTCATCAATTCATCCACATCCATTGTCCCACCCACCATGAGCCAAATGTCCCAATTCCTCCAGCGCGGCAGGCGTACTGCTTTATCCCAAGGATCCTCCAGAGCCAGCTCTTCCCAGCAAACTGACGTATCTCATCATGCTGGTTCTCGTCGCCTTGCCAGGTCAAAGGCCTTATTGTCTTCCTCTCCAGTTTCATCCCGAGGCAGTACACCGTCTGATGCCTGTTCAAAGGAGTACCCGGCTGACGCTGGTCTCAACGACGGAGTAGCTTTCACTGTAGAGTGGGACAACCTCTGGCTAGCAAACAGGAAGCTGAGGCCCGAGAGAGTCGGGTATCGCGTGAAGCACAAGAGCCAGCTCCGTGGGAACCGGCAGCTCTCCCAGATTTGGCTGGTGTACGACGACGAGGAGGACAGCTCTAAAGTAAAGCTATGGCTCTGCAAGAGGTGCCACGCCGGGGGCGTTCGCGGAGGGGTGAAGAAAGTCGACGGTTACGCTCATATCGTGAGCCACCTCAGGAAAGAACACAGGATTGACGTCTTCGGGGGAGGTCTCTTGCCTGACGCGCCAAGGATCCCAGCGAGTCCATTTGAAGCCGCTCGTGAGGTCGCTGGCTCGTCGTATATCGTCTCTCACAGCGCGTGGCAGGAGGAAGCGTTGCAGGCGGCAGTCGTCGATTGGGTTATCCTTCACGACATTTCCTTCAACACAGCATCGTCAGCGGAACTTCGGGGCATCCTCACCTGGAACCGAGCTAATCTTCTCGCAGCTCTCCCAGTCTCAGATACCACATTTTCTTCCTACGTAAACGAGGCCTGCCTGCGCCGGAGAGCGGAGATTCGAACGATACTAAGGATGGCCCAGAGCAAAATTGCGTTGAGCGTTGATATATGGACTTCTCCAAACCACCGTCGTCAACCTGCAACACCTATATACTGAGCTTCTCCGGATGGGGGATGAACTTGAGGGTGAGAGTGACGATTGCTACCTCAAATCTGGCGTAGCATTTGGCACAGAGAAGTTGCTTACATACTGGGAGAAGTTTGTTATAGAGCCGCCTGTATCCTATTATTGCGTCGCGACTATCCTCAACCCTCAGCTTCGTCTCCTTTGGTTTAAGGACCACTGGCGCAAGCACCCCTCATGGCATAAGAAAGCTGAGGCTTCAATGAGGGCTGTTTTTCAAGAGTACGTCGATACCGAGGCAGAGGCAGAGGCAGAGGACGACGAGCAACTGCCATCCACGCGACGTAAGTTACCAGGTGGCGAGTATCATGACGAGGGCTTTGAGCGGACTCTCTCTGTGGACATGAGCCTCCTCACTGGCAATCGTTCATACAAAAAGCAGCGGAAAACAACAGAATTGCAGCAATACTACGACAGTTACCGCGAAGACGTTACTATGGCCAAGGACGATAGCCCTCTGTTTGCTAATCCTCTTACATGGTGGGAACAAGTTGGACGGCTTGCCTATCCTACGCTATACAAAATTGCCCTTGACTTCTTGTCCATCCCATCCACAAGCTGCGACTGTGAGAGGAGCTTTAGCGGCGGTAGGAGGACTGTTACCTGTGACAGAAATAAGCTCTCTGGCCCGACAATTGAGGCTCTTCAACTGCAGAAAAACTGGCTACGTCAGCGCTGTGTTCACAGTGAATTGTCGTCCTTAGCGGACTATATACGAGCCGTTACGACGTAACTTTTCGCGAAACGTTGAAACGTAGGAGAAATGTGAATCGTAACGGTTACGCTCCGTAAGTGGACTTAAATGTCATGCTTACGTTGAAACGTACTCACAATCTGAGAAGTTACGACCATCGATTTGGCGAGTCGTAACGTATTACGTACGGTTGGGAACGCTGGATCTTCGCCCGCTTCCTTGAACGCTTCCTTAGTATCAACAAGCTTAATGCCGTTTTCTAAGATGTGGTAGACCTAGACTTCCCCGAGGGATTTGGCGCCTCCTGCAAAAGAAAGAGGTATGGTTAGCGAATGTCTCAAAAATGGGATTTGTACTGCGATCCTTACCTTTAGCAACATCTTCATCGCTCGTGGTTGAAACCCATGGATCCTCGTCACCTAGCTTGGCCTTGACATGATCAATGACAGTCCCGGTCCCGGCAGGATCCCTGGCCACGAAGCCTCCAGCATCTCGGATCTCTTAAGGCGAGCGAAAATCCATGCGATAGACGGTAGCCAATGCAGGGGATAGTAGGGCGAGGAAAGCAGCGAAGTGAACGATTTGAGAGTGACTGAACATGTTGAGCTAATTTGCTTTGCTTGTTGCAAACTTTGAAGAGTTGTCAGGGGGAAAGATAGACACGTTTGAAGAGATACGCTGAAGATGAAGATGAAGATGAAGAGTGTTTTCTTGGGCTGAAAGATGCAAATGATGCTGGGAAATTGGAGAAGATGGTTTGATGGTTGTTGATAATTAAGTCACAGAGCAAGAATATCAAGATCTTATATACTTCAGTATGTGGTATCTCAGTGCTTGGTTCAATGCTAAGGAGTTGAACGGGCACCGGAAAAATTACAGGATTCCCGTCGACTGCTATCCAACTTCGGGGCGCCTAGCACTGTGCAACAATACAGAACCAACGTTTTGACGGATTTAGGGTGATTGTTTTAGTGTTCAGGTTCCTTTCAGGGTTTAGGTTCGGAAGTGGTTTCACAAACTGCGCTACTGCTTACATATAACGTCCTGTTACGTGATGTTAATGATCTGTGCGAAATGGCTGACGTCCTGTTCCGTGATGTTGATGATCTGTGCGAAATGGCTGACGTCCTGCTACGTGATGGTAATAATCTGTGCGCATTTCGCAGTGCTACTATAAATAGTGTTAATGTATCACGTGACATGAAAACGGCGCGCACCCTGAAGGTATTAACAGGGGAAGCTGTTAGGAGAAGCTCCTGCGTGAGTTTTGCCGTTATTTACAGTAATAGCTGTTAGGTGGGATCCTTACAGGCGGCTTATATAATAACTCTAGGAGTCAAGTAATAGGATAGATTTAACGTCGCCTTTCAGACTAGCAACGACATTGCCCTCATTTTCTTTAAGAACCAAGCGGATTTTCAGGAGGCTATGGCAGGACTTAACGTACACCGCGTTCGCAATAGTGGACAGGTTCAGTCGTGTGTGCGATGCGTGGAGCGCATTTGCACAGATTCTTGGATCTGCTACCGAATCATGGATCAAGGATGCGGACTGTTCTCAGCAACATACAGTATACCACAGAAGAGTTGAGGGTTCGAATTATATGGGCAGGGGGTAGTACTCTTATTATTGCTTTTGTAAAGCCTGGATTCGCTTGCGGCCGCGCACCAAACTACTATCGGTAATCGCTGAGCGAGTGGAAGGCCTTATTATCCCTCTCCACCACCGGGTGAAGGATGAGACTCGGCATAAGCGCTAAATTTCAGAGACCACTAAAGCGGGTATTGACCGCGACTGCAACGCGACCGTATCAGTTGAGCTCGAAGCTCAGATCCAGGAACTCAAAAACGTGCTGCGGGACCATTGTAGCAGCAGCAGCGGCGGTAGCAGCAGTACCACACTAAGCTGGTCACCTGGTAGCGTGCTAGAAACCTAACCCTATAACATATTATCGTTTTTAGACCCCCGCATCCCTTTAGGTAAATAATAAGAACTGCTTTACCTCTTTACGCACCAGGCAGGAGCTGTATAGCTAGTAATCTCGCATCGACGACTATATGAACGTACGGATACTGTGCGAGCATGTCTCGAAGAGCGCTGTATATATCATCGAGTGATGGCTTCGTTCCGCGGCCGGCGTGTTTCTGATGTAACTTTTCCACAGGACCCAGCGTTGATGGTCGGCTCTGAACTAGCTGCTTGAGGATGGCTGCTAATATGCTAACAATGTCCTGATCTGCTTGAGATTTGTAGTTGCAGTAATGTACGCAACTTCGTACGCATCGTTTTGCGCTGAATCTAGAAGCTGATCGACTGCGATAGCCGCTACCATGGTCTTGCCAGCACCTAGGATTCCTGGGTAGAAGAGGGTGGTCTTGGCGTCGTCAAGCCATCGTGCCACTTCAGGTGCGTCTAGGAACCACTGGCCTGTCCCTTCCTGCCTGCGCTTTATGATGTCCGATTGCTGAGCGGGATAGTCGCTCGACGATATCCATTCTAGAAGAATGCGACCGGCCTTTTTCGCAGCGTGCTCCAGGGCACTTCATCATATGTCAAGGTGGTAGGGTTCTCGCCAGATGGGGATTAGAATGCTGTCGATGAATGAATGGGATTCGGATGCATTTCACATGTCTTCCTTCATGTTCAGCACGACGATCTTCGCTCTTAGAAGGGATCGGTAGTCTAACGCCAAAGGAAAAGTGTCTTGCGACGCTGGCCAAACCATCACTCCATACTGGACTTCCTCAGTCACGCTAGAATTGTAGTGCAGCTGCTGCAAGCCGAGCAGCATAGAGGCAAGGACCATGTGTAGCTGTACCGTGACACTTGTGCAATCCGAAGGATACACTCGAGATAACACGGCGCATCACAGCAAAATGTTTCCTGTTCATGTCTAGATAATGCTGACCGTCATCGACATGTCCATCTGTCATCACCACATCTGTGCCACAGGTGCTCTCCACGTTTCCGGCATCGGATCAATGAGCGCATCGCTTGCTCGTGCTGCTTTGGTTGATGGTCCCGACACGCCTACTTCTTGCTCATCTGGAACACCTTCTTCGGCCGCGACACGTTTACGCTTCCGACCACGTTTTTTCCCTTCCTCGCCTCCATCTGCCTGCGTCGTTGCCTTTGGTCGGCCGCGCTTTGCTTTACTTACAGCCTTCTTGGCAGCATCTTGCTTAACACGTTCTGCACGGTCTGCCCGAATTGCTTCAAGATCTTCCTGTATCATCACCTGTCCTTCGCCGTTCTTTCCGGGCTTCTTCAGTATATCTGATCTTGTATTTTGGCGAGTCTTAGCCTTGTTATTGGCAGCCTTAAGAAGCCTAATGTAATTCTGGTTAAGGACTTGTTGCGCAATAAATCTTTTGGTGGCGTTGGCAGCTTCTGAATCAGTTTGTGATGACGCATTTTGTTTGGCTTGTTACTATGAGAATCTTGCTTAATGAGGCTCAGTAGTTGTGTTACGGCTTCCGATGACACGGGTGTCACTGGCGTCTGAATTACTCCATTCTGTGTGCTTTGGACTTCGGGTACCTGAATGGTCAGTGGAGCGTCTAGCTTTACGATATCACGAAGAACCCTCGAAGGGTTGAACGGTAACAGGCCGGTCTTTGCCCAGCTAGCAAGTATATTCTTTTTTGTCATCCCCCTTTCTCTCGCACGACTGTATATGGCAGTGAAGTGCTCTTTGTTAGCATTTGTTAGACCCTACAGTAGCAGCGCTTAACCTTATCTCAGTACGCTGTTTTTAATAGCCTAAAAACTAATACGTTACAGGGCTGTGTCTTGTAAGACGTGTGAGAGGGCAGTCTACATAGGATAGTGTTATTCTCTAAGCAAAATTTAATAATCTTAAAGGTTTTATGTGTCCTAAAGCTATCACATATAAGTATCTATAGTTTTCTATTAGCATAAGCTTTAGTCTGTAGGTTAGAGACTTGTTTAATCTACTCTAGGCTAATAAGCAAGTTATTGTAACCTGTTTTAGAAAGGGCATAGAACTATCTAGGAGTAGAGTATGTTGTCCAGTTACTCTGGTAAGTAGATGTAGGCCAGATAATTATTAGATTAAGATACTTACTGCTTGCTAACACGCATTTAATAGCAGTAACTATTGCCTACTTTATGCTAGTTCCTCTATAGTCCTTTCTATTATCCTTACCTACAAGGACTTTAACAGAGCTAAGCATAGAAAGCATGATGCCTATCTTATCTATATTATAGACGTTCTCTAGCAAGACGTCTAATCTACAGAGTTTCTTCTTAATCACATTAAACTAATGTACTACCTTATTATATATGCTATTATTGTGACGCTCCTACAGCATAGGCCTATTATTTCTTAATTTAAGCTGTGGGTGGCGGCGACAGAAGGCCTAAGGCTAGTTCTTCTTTAGTAGCTTAGAGGGTTGTTTTGTAGCACGTTAGCTAGCAATGCAAATGTAACGGCAAAGGCAAGACAATGAGTCTGAATGCGGTAGGAATCCACTCAGAGGCATATGGGAGTGCGTGGGGACTCAATGACCTGGGATCTCCATTGACACCTATAGGCCTTGTACAAAGGATATTAGAAAACTACTAAGCTAGCTACAGGGGCAAGGTGCAATTAAATACATAAGGGAATAGAGGTAACAGCAGGGGTCAGGGCTAGGTTAGGGTTAGAGCTAATACAGGGGCCTTCTAGAGGTTCTAGGCCGCCTAAGATAGAATAATTTATAAGAATTGTTACACTACCCCCCCTTCTATAGACTAATAGTCCTTATTAGTAGTAAGTATAGTATAAAGTATTGCTGTTATGTTCTTTACATTCTTAAACTAAGACTAGTCTAATTTAGCTAGGTGTTTTTACTCTAAAATATTCCTTTACACTGCTAGCAGTGTCTTCTAAACTAAACGCTATGCGTGCGCGCCTGTTTTAATAGTAATCTATATAAATGTCTAGCCTATTAATAATTAAAACTTACCCTTTATTTTTTACTATTTATGCAGTTATTAATCTTAGGTGTGTGTTTAGTGTAGTAACATTTAGGCATTATTAAAAGTGCCTTAAAAGTCTCTTGCTATTAAGGTAGTAAAGGTAATTTAAGGCATTATTAGTAGTAATTTAGTAGTTAGTAGAGGTTAACTAGCAGTCTTAGCTAAATTAGCTGCTAGAGATTAACTCTAAATTAGGTAGGTCTAGCTTTAGGTCCTGTAGACGCAGGTTTAGCTGTTAATAAGGTAGTAGTTAGTAGTTAGAAGTTAGTAGTTAAAAGTTAGGCATTAATAGTTATCTCTAATTCTAATAAGTTATTAGTAGTCTCTAAGTTTTTACTTTAGCGCATTTTACATAACTTTTTAAAGGTAATTCTAATTATAGAGGATAAGAAGTTCTAAACCTAAAGGCTTTAGTTAATAAAAGGTCTCTAGTATCCTATTGTTACAATCTTTACCTTGGAGAAATGGTGTCTGAGGAACTCTAGGCCTAGGAGGAGGTTAGGTGTTTAGGGGAAAGAGAACTTAGACTAGACAGGTGTACAGGCTGTTAAGGCGAAGTTGCTAGGATAGGGAGGTGCAGCTAACTGTAGTTTGCCCTTTAACAGCAGTATAAGGTGCTTAGGTTAAACAGTTCTTAGGTAAGAACAAAATATAAGTATATATAGTGTAAGATATATAATTAGTATTACTTTTTATTAAAAAGTAGTAATGCTACTTAGTCTATGTAATAATAAACTAAACTTTAATTATAACCTTTAAAAGTAGTTAGGATCTTAAACTATATACATAAAGTTATGCGTTTTACGCGTTGTGCGCGCTGCTTCCTAAGTAGCGCGCATAGCCTACATCGCCTGTAAACGTTCCTAGCTTATAAGACAACACATTTAGCTGTGCATTAGTCTAATAGTTCTGTTTATTTCTTATCTGTTAAGTTATGTAATTTATTAAGCAAGAAAATAAAAAAACTCTATCCTTATTTATTTAAATAGTAGGGTATAAAGAGCTAGTAGCTTACAGTCTAATTATAGGTTATAATATATAAGCTTCTCTTTTTATTAGTGTTCTTACTGTTCTGCTTACACTACTATAAGCATTAGAGTTTTTTTTTATCTAGTAAGTACTCTTCTATAAACACTTTATAGATGTCTATCTTTCTTAACTATGCCTTATTAGTCTTCTTATTTGTCTACTTGCGCGCTCTATCTGCGCACTATTGCTTGTCTTAATTCTTTTTACTATATATAAAAATACAACTTTATAGTTCTTATTACTTAAGTAGCTTCTTTTATGTTTTAACCTTATTATTAGATAAGTATGTAAAGTGTGTAAAAAAAAGTAGTAAGTGTAACACTTTTGTCTCTAACACTAGCTAGGATTATTTAGAAAAAGAGTAAAAAAAAAACTTCTTTAAAAGATAAAAAATGCTTATACTTAGTAAAAGCAAAAGAAGAAGCATAGGCTAAAAAAGGCTAAGAAAAACCTAGAAAGGTAATAAGTAATTTATGCTAAAAAAGTTTAATGCTAGAAGCAACTTAACTTTAATAAAAGTTAAAAAGTAAAGTTTTTAAAAAACAACTTTTTATTACTAAATAAAATTAAAGCACTTAAAGTAAAGGCTTAAGGTCTTTTTTCTTCTTAGCCTATGTTAAAGAATTATAAGCTTTTTACATTATAGCTATCTAGTGTTGCTAAAGCTCTTTTAGCTATTAATAGTGTTTTCTAGCCTAGAGAACTTTCTCTAGGCTAGTTCTAGTTAGAAGAGACGCTTAATAATCTTAAAAAAGCTATAAAGCGTTTATTAGATTCTTAATAAGTTTTTATATGCTTTTACTAGTAAGCTATTTTTTTATTTTACTAAAAACTCTTTTCTATTTTTAGCGTTAAGTATATATTTAACTTTATATTCTACCTTTATATCTCTCTAACTAGTTGTTAAAAGAGGTATTTCTTTTAATACTTTTTTAAGTTTTAAAACATAGAACTATAAGTGTATACACATTTCTTTTAGTAGTTTAAGCTTATAGTTGTTCTGTTACATCTGTAGTACTTTATATAGTTTAATAAGTTTTTTTATAAGTTTTTAAAAGGGTTTAAAAGTGTAAAAATTCTTTATTTTAAAGTAAATATAGTCTCTAGGGTAGATTTCTAGACTAGGTTATTAATCCTTATTTATGTTTTACTTTATTAGCTTTTAGCTAGCTTTAGCTTTAATTACTAATTTCTAGTGTAAGCTTAATAAATATAATAAGTAGTTAATAGTTTTTAGTAAACCTATTAGTTAGTTTTTATAAAGCGTGTAGTAAAAGTAGCAGCTAAAGTTAGCTTTATAAAGTGTTTCTTTTATTATAGCTAATTCTACTATGTTAATAGCTAGTTGCGCTATAAAAAGCTATTCTGCCTAGTTAGTTTAGTTATAGAATACATACTTTCTTAAGTACTTCTCTATCTTTATGTTTACTTATTTAGTTTGTCTGTCTGTTTATAGGTAGTACACTATAGATAATCTATGTTCTATGCTTAAATGTTTTATAGCAGCTTTCTAGAATTTGCTTATAAACAGCTTATCTTTATTAAAGATAATAATCTATAGGCATTTATAAACTAAGACTATGTTAGATTTAAGTTTATACATAAATTTCTTAGCTATTATGCTTTTCTTAGAAGGCTAAGTATATAAGAATTTTATAGTTTTATTCAAGGCAACTATTATTATATTATAAAGCCTTTCTATTTCTAGTTTATAAAATAAGGGTAGTCTAGTTATAAAGTTTATTATTATTATTATCTAGAGTTACTCTAGGGCTTTAATAGCCTATAAATAGCTGTATGTTTTATGTCTTCTAAAATTATTTTTATTACAGATAATACACTTATTGTAAGGACAGGGCTCCGCACCACTCCGCTAATACAACTAAAAAGGTGCGAATAATTAACTAACGTTAATTATTGCGTACAGAATAGTATATATACCTGTCGTACGTAAGCACCATCTCGGCCTTACACGTAAGCGCCATCCTGGCCTTACATTATCCCCCTTCTTAGCAGACGCATGTCCCAGGCGTCACATGACCTACCCGCAGCTCAGAGGCGCCTATGCGCATGTCTCGGTTACCGGCCAGAGGCTGACCACCTGCGGCCCAGAGGCGCGGGATAAACACGACGCAACGCTCAGTGGCCCACGCCAGCTAAGCCATATACACTAGACCTCCCAGCAGCAACAACGTGGCGCTAGAAGAGGCCGCCTCACGTTTTAGTCTAAAAACTGGCAAAGCTGTCTAAGGTGTGGGTCAAACGCGCAACTGTCCTTGTTGTTAGTTAATTATTATGTAAGAACAGAGCTCTACACCACTCTGCTAATACAACTAAAAAGGTGTAAATAATTAACTAACGTTAATTATTGCGTACAGAATAGTATATATACCCGTTGTACGTAAGCACCATCTCGGCCTTACACTTATAGAGGATTTCTATATATAATTATTTTAGCTTTAGAACATTTTAGAGAATTATAGCTTTAATCTTCTTTTAGAGTGTTTCTATTCTAGAGTGTCTAAACATAAAAGCTGTATAATATTCTCTAATAAAGTTCTTTTATCCTTATTTTACTACTATAAAAGAACAAATTATTTTTTCTAAGTCTAGCCTATTATTAGCTAGTTCTTTTAGAG